GGAGTAGCCTTGAAAAATGGTGTTTTTTACTGGAAATTCTAAGATAAAAATGAAAGGCACATAAACCCTATACTCTAGTTGGTAAATTTGTTTTCCAAGGGGGTGTACATTAACAATTCTGAATCTGCTTTACACGTATACTAGCATTGAATAAATAAGTGGATGGTGGATGGTGAGGACCAGGTTTCTCACTATTAAAGATAGGAGAGTTATAATGACCTCTCTGATTCTGACTTAGAGCTGAAAAAATCAGCAGGAACCCATGTTTACCTTCCTAAAGATGGAAAGATATAGAAACAATCCTAGATATGTATGTATGTATGCATTAGGATACATCATCTAGCTCTTCAACTAAAGAGGGCTTAGAAGGAATAACTCTTAAGTGGTAGTAAACAGTTGTAGCATTAAGATCTTGATCCTAAATTCCAATCTCAGAAGGTACTATGCTTCTTGAAGAAATAGTCAGGTTTAGAGCTGGGGCAGGAAAAGTACATGAGCCTGACATACTGTACCAGAAAGTAAAAAGAAGTGCTCAAAAAATAAAGGGTAGATGTATGTCAAAGGTCTATAGGTTCCAACTTCAATCCTAAAGTCTGTATTGAGTGAGTATAGAGTGCACTTAATGTCTTACCTCTAATTAATAAAGTATAGAAAGAAAAAAATAGTAACTTTATAGTGAAGGAACCTGGCAATACTTCCTTAACCAAGTGACCAAGGTTAACATCATGAGTAATGTAGATATGTTGTAATGAAAAAGGCATTTTACTTCTATCATATTCTTTCCTAAGATAATCTCAGTCTAACCACACAAAAAAATGCAAAACAAACCAAATTAAGGTTTGTAAAATATATGGCCAAAACTTTCAAGATCATGAAAACGGGAAGACTGAGAAACTGTTACAGATCAAAAGAGATGAATTAATGTAATATAGTATCATGGATTTGATCCTGGAATAGTAAAAAGGACACTACTTATAAAATCTAAATAAAGTTTGGGCCTTAGTTAATGGTAATGCACCAATGTTGGCCAAATCCTTTACAATAACTTTTTTTTTTTTTCTTTTAGTACTGGGAATTGAACCCAGGAGTGCTTTACCACTGAGCCACATCCCCAGTCCTTTTTTATTGAGACAGGCTCTCGAAGGTTACTGAGGCTGGCCCCAAACTTGCAGTCCTCCTACCTCAGCCTCCCACATTGCTGGAATTATAGGTGCGCACCACTGTGCCTGGCTGTCAAAATAATTTAAGATAATAAGATCAGAGAAGTCTGAAACTGATGTATATGACATTCTATACCAGCTTAGCAACTTCCCCCCCCCCTTCTTTTTTGCTACTGAGTATTGAACCCAGGGATGTTTAACCACTCAGGTCAGCCATGTTCCTATCGCTTTTTATTTTATTTAGGATCTGGCTAAATTGCTTGGGGCCTCACTAACATGCTAAAGCTGGTCTCAACCTGTGATCCTCCTACCTCAGCCTTTTATTTAAATTTAATATTATCCCAATGAAAAAGTCTATTTTTAAAAGGCTGAGAACAGAATGTAGGATATATTTATGAAAAAGTCTTGCCAGGCTTGGTGGTACACATCCATAATCCCTGTAGTTTGGGAGATTGAGACAGGAAGATCTCCAGTTCAAGGCCAGCCTCAGAAAATTAGAGAGGCCCTATGCAAACAAGTCCAACCCTGTCTCAAAATTAAAAAATAGGGCTGGGGATGTGGCTCAGTGGTTAAGCTCCCTGGGTTAAATCCCCAGTACCACAAAACAAACAAACAGTAAAATATAGACATTGATCTAGATATATTTATATGCACTGATAGATGGTTTAGTAAAATTTTTACTAAAATATTAATAGTAATAGGGTTTGGGGCTATTACTTTTTGTCTTTTTCTCTAGTATTAGATTTTCTTTAATTAACATGTTTATATTTTTTAAATAACACTATTAAAAATAAGATTTTCTTTCCAGCTTTCTTTCCTAAAAGTGTTTCTATAATAAATTTTTAATCAGAAGTTTTATATGTATGAAGTAGAGAAAAAATGAAAAAAGTGATATCAAAGGTGGACCAAAAGTATATTTACATATCATAAAAGAATATTAAATGACAGAAAAATAACTTAACATCAGTGAAAAAACTGATTATAAGCCATATATGTGTATGCACACAGTTCTTTTTCATACTTATCTTTGTTCTAAATTTTCAACAATGAACAGGTATTACTGTTTTAATTTTAAAAATTCACATTAATATTTTCATGGGAGTGACAGATAACAGAGCTACAATTGGAACTTCAGTTCATATACCAGATTAAAGCTTTTAGAATTTTTCTGGATAATATCAATTGCTTATACTTAGTTTATATTTTAAACTTTAGATACAGCCATCTTCCTTACAACTTGCAATTATTATTTGACATAATAATTATTATATATTTATTTAACATATATTTTGAAAGATACAAAGAATTTTATAAAATGTTATACTTGTTCCCAAGGATGAATTTTAAAACTTTTTTGAAAACTAAATAATAAATTTAACTTTTTTATTAGAATTATGTACCAGTATTAACCTAGAGAATCAAAAAAAGTTTTAATATTACTTTTCTAAAAATAAACAGGCCCAAGTTCACTGTTTTAGAAAAAAAAAATTAATTGGCATAAACATCAGGAATTTGTTTTCTGTTTTGGAGGCTAGAAGTCTAAAATAAGAATGCTAGCATGGTCAGATTCTGGTGAAGGGGGTCTTTCCTGGTGCCTGAGAGATCAAGTTCCCTTGAGTCTCAGTCTCATGGAATTAATATCATAAGACTAGGACTCCACCTTCCTGACCTAATTAATTCCCAAAGGCCCCATCTCCAGTTAACATCACATTGAGGGTAATAGCTTCAACATAAGAATTTTGCGAAGACAATTTGATTCAAACCTTTCCATCCCTGTCCCTTGCACTCACCACCAAATTCATAAATCACATGCAAAATACATTCATAGTGTTCCAATGATCTCCAGAGTCTAACTTATTCCAGTATTAACTCTGAAGTGGTCATCTAAATCACTTGTGAATCTAGACAAGTAATGTACTTCCAAAATACAATGGTGAGATGGGAATATGAAAAAACATTCCTTATACTCCAAAAGGGAGAAATAAGAAAAATGGAAAGGGTGAGAGTTTCCAAGGAACTGCAAAACCTAGCAAGGCAAATTCCATTAGACCTTAAGGCTTGAGAATGATTTTCTTTAGTTCCATAATCTGTCCTCTAGGACCTTAGAGTAGAAGTGTCACCCCCACAGTTCTACACGGGGTTGGGGGTGGGGGGCGGTTCCTTCTCCTGGTGGCTCTGAATAGTGATCCTGCCTCCAAGGCTTTAGGAGGAGTTTATCTGACCTGTTGAAACTGAGTATGGCCTTAATGATCTGAATCACATTGGGCATAATTTTTCCCTTTTTTTTAGGATAATGTTTTGTTGTTGTTGTTTTTGTTATTGTTGTTGTTGTTGTTTTTGCTGTTGTTTTGGTATTGGGGATCAAACCCAAGGTGCATTACTACTGAGCTGTATCTCCAGCCCTTTATATTTTTTATTTTGAGACAGATTCTTATCACATTGCTGAGAACCTTGCCAAGTTGCTGAGACTGGCCTTGAAATTTATGATCCTTCTGCTTCAGCTTCAGAAATATTTTTATCATAATAGTATAACATCTACTTTGCTGAGTGGCTTTTTGTCAAGTACTTTACATACAGCTTAAATTTTCATAGCAATTTTATGTGATATACATAAAATATATTCTACCTTCTGTTCTCAGTCTTTTTATTTTTTTGTGTGTGTTTTTGTTGTTTGAAATTTTTTATTTTTTATTTGTTTTAATTAGTTACACATTACAGTACAATGATCTTGACATATCATACATTTGAATCAGATGGGATATAATTTCTAATTTTTCTGAGTGTACAGGTTGCAGAATTACATTGGTCATGCAGTCACGTATATACCCACAGCAATAATAATGTCTATTTTATTCTGCTGTTCTTCCATTACCCCCTACCCTTCCCCTCCCCTCCCATCACTTCTCTCTACCCAATCTAATGTAACCCACTTCTTTTTTTTTTCTCACATCATCATACCCGAATTCTGTATAATGTAGGGGGTCTCCTTCCCTCTTCCATGCAATTCCCCTTCTCCCTCCTTTGCCCTCCCACCTGTCTTCCCTATCTAGAGGTAATTTTCTTCTCATGCTCTTCCTCCCTACCCCATTTTGAGTTACCTCCCTTATATCAGAGAAAATATTCGTCTCAGCCTTTTTAAACTAAACTAGATATTAACCTGATTTTATAAATTTAGAAACTAAAGCTCAAAAAAATTGAGTAAATTGCTGGGCGCTATAGTGCACGCCTGTAATACCAGAGGCTCAAGAGAGGGAGGCAGAAGGATGGAGAGTCCAAAACCAGCCTCAGCAAAAGTGAGGCTCTAAGCAACTCAGTGAAACCTTGTCTCTAAATAAAATTCACAGTAGGGCTGGGAATGTGACTTAGTGGTCAAGTGCCCCTAAGTTCAATCCCCAGAGTAAAAAAAAAAAAAAAATTGGTAACTTGGCCAAAAGGTACAAATAATAGGTATTCAGTAAGTTTATGTTACTTATAAATTTTTTATGTATTATTTATAAGTAAATTTTAAAAATACTGAGACTCCTCTGACTTTTAAATATGTTACTAGTGTGTACAAACAGTTCCTCATATTATGCTGCCCTAAGTTCATACTTTCTTTATATTCTACAAATATATAATTATGATCAAAATTTTAAGCAAATATTTGTAGGTTTCTTAATTTATTTTGTGTCACTTTTAGGACAGTTTTAAAATATCAGGCAATACATGTTTTTTTGTGGGTTTTTTTTATTCTTATGTCTTCCTGATTTTCATAAGTTCAGGTTTCTGATTTATGCCTTAGAGCAATTATATTTAATAGCCACACACTTAGTAATCATCCTCTTATACTTTCTGTTTCAGGCAGAAAATGTAACTGTGACAAAGGATTTTAGAAGAGTGGAAAATGCTTATCACATGGAAGCAGAAGTATGTACTTAGCAAATAACTGGAAACAGCATGATTTTGTGGAGACAACTTATCATTTAGTTTTATTCTTGCAAAAAAATATACCAGAGACATGCTTCTCGTAGTTTTGATAAAAGATTATTTTTCTCAGAATAACTTTTGATGTTATATAGATGATCTTTTAAATATATTTAATGAGATTTAAGAGAAGTTATTTAAAATGCAATAAAAATAGCAACAGGGAAATAGCAGTTAAATACCACCTGAATAAACTTTTAGTAAAATTATTGCCTGGTGAGCAGGAAATACTACAGGAAAGAAATTTCTCTTAGATAAAGAGTAAATGAATAGGGAGGGGAAGAATAGAAATTCAGTGGATTAGATAAAGGGGAATGAAGGAAAAGGGAAGGGTCTAGGAATAAGAAAGACAAGGGAATGAATCTAACATGAATTTCCTATGTAAATATATGAATACATCATAGTGAATCCCCACATCAGGTACATCTACAAGACTGGGATCTAATTAGAATAAGACATACTTCATATTTGTATAAATATCTTAAAATATACTCTACTGTCGTGWATAACTAAAAAGAACAAGTAAAATTTAAAAAGAATAAATGAAAAAAGTTATAAAGGATTGAAACACATTTTAACATTCTTTTATTCCACAATGCAACTTAACTGTGTTTTAATAAGTATTATTTGGAAATAAAAACTGCTTTTCCTTTACACAAATTAAAAAGAAGGGGCTAGGGATATAGCTCAGTGGTTGAGCACTTGCCTGTGAGGCTCTGGGTTCAGTGTCCAGCACCACACACACACACACACACATACACACACAAAGAGGGAATCATTTAAGTATACTTAATTGATGATAACATTATTTAGAGCCTACAACTGCCTCAGCTTTTTACTTTCCTTTAAAGTGTGATGATTAGGATATTTTTTATGGAATCAGAATATGTTTCTGAAACCRCATGTTTGTGTTATGTGCTTAATCCATGTTGCCTCCTTGTCACAGGAGAAAAAGAACAGTGAGGTTAGACTGGAATCTTGTTTACCCAGTCAGAGAATTTTTGTTTTTAGAAGTAGGAAGTACCTCAAGGTATCACCTGGTCCTATCTTCAGGCAGAGATAGATTATTTTTTCTCTAATTTTTCTATTAGGTTTAGATCACTTAGATCTAGACTTCTTAAAGGGCATATAATAAGAATTAGAGTGAAAAACTGGAATCCTGTCTTTTTATCTCTTGAGATAGTAAACAATATTCTGTTTGTTATCTCCTGTTAACAGTTTTGTGATTTCACCATTTTAATGTAACTATTTCAAGGAAATTTAAAATTACTTATTATGATTTTAGCGATCCATTTGTCAAAAGTATACTAGTGGGGACTAAAAAAATATCTTTCAAAACAAAATGAAGAATAGTCTAAATTACAGAGGTTGAAAGTTGGGAGTATGCTATAGCAATTCAATAGTAGATACTACCTGTTAGAGCTTCAGATTGTAACACAGAGGAGCAAGTTATCTTAGTTAAAGAGGTTTATTGTGAGGGTATATCAAGGAGAAAAGAGGAGAAAAAAAAATAGTCCCATATTTCATGAAAAACTGGCATATTTTCCAGACCACAGAGTTTTGTAGAGATTGAACTTTCAGGTACAAAGAGTACATTAGAACGGCTTGTTTTAAGAAATAACTAAATGATGACTTAACTAAACTCTCCTCCTTTTCCTTCTGCTTTAACTTCCTTTTTAATGTATTATATTCAATTTTCTTAAGAGAATATCTGATTACATTTTATATAGAGCTCTCTGGAAACCAGAACTCACATTATATTATACAATCCAATACATGATTGTCCTTAGATTRGCACCAGTAGTAGATATTATCTAAAATATCCAAATTTACAGGAGCAGAAAATAGAGTGTGAAGGGGGTGTGTGTGGAATAGGAGATCTTGTTCAGCAGGCATAAAGTTACAGTTATATAGGATGAATAAGTTCTAGATATCTACTCTACAACATAGTAGCTTTAATTAGTTTGGTATTATGCACTTACTAATTTAAGAGGGTAGATTTCATGTTTTAATGTTCTTACCACAGAAAGAAAAACAAAACAGCAAATACTATAGGAAAACATTGCAAAGTGATAAATAGGTTTATGGTCTTCATTATGTTGCTTGTGGTAATGGTAACACAGGTTACTATAAAATTCGACAAATTGTATATGTAAAATGTGTGCAGTTTTTTGGTTTGTCCATTATACTTTAATAAAGCTGTAAATAAATTTTAAAAAGATTAATGGACATTACTTTTCCACATAATATCTGAAATTTTCATTCTAAAAGGCATTTTAAAGATGTTTTAGCTAACCTCCCACCACTTGGCTGTTCCCCTTTGGTTTAAGAATAAACATGTTGAAGGTTAGAAAGTTTCTAAATGACTTCATTAAATGTAGATGAGTGAATATGTGTGGGAAGTGGGAGTTGGATTAAAAACTGGGCTTTGAGATTCCTATATTGGTACACTTGTCACTTCTTTTGTTCTTTCTTATAATAATCTCAGTGTCAAGAGAGATTTTAAAGCCTGAGATATTAGAGGCATTCACTAATGTATATCAAAAGAAAAAGTAGTGTAGCACTCATAAGAATTTCCCCCTCCCTGTTCCCACTTATTTTTCCTGAATGCCTCCCATTATAACTGGGACTTAGAAAGGGACTAGATCTGCAGTTGCTGTCGTGGGTAACTGAAAGCAAGAGAAAGCTTAGCACCTCTGCCTTTATTTTATATTTGTTTCCTTTATTACCTTAAACTTTGGATTGTGTTCCTGCTTAGTTCTGCACATTGGTATATTAATCTTCTAAGGAGTGTTTATCGAAAAACTTCACATCATGTACAACCATAAGAATAGAATCCTAATTAGAATAAGTTATACTCCATGTATGTATAATATGTCAAATATACTCTACTGTTACATATATCTAAAAAGAACAAATAATTAAACCCTCTAGTAATACAAGGTTTATTAGCCCTAAATTTACCATACTTATCTGTTTGTCTTGAAGACAGAGACAACATTTACAGCATCTCTTATTTCAGACCTCTGGGGTGGCACCTATAAGTCTTCAAGCTTGTCCTAAACCTTCCTGGAAATTATTCCATGTTTTAGTTAGCTTTTTCACCACTGTGATCAAAAAACATGACAAACAATTTTAGAGGAAAAGTTTATTAGGCATTCACCATTTCAGAGGTCTCAGTCCATAGATAGCAGACTCCATTGCTCTGGGCCCAAGGTGAGGCAAAAGATCCTGGCAGAGAGTGTAGTGGAGCAAGGCAGCTCAGGACACCAAGAAGATACTCTGCTCAACAAAGACAAAATATAAGCCTCAAAGGCACACCCCCAAGGACCTATCTCYTCCAGCCACACCCTATCTGCCTACAGTTACCACCTAGTTAATCATTCAAGTGAATTAACCTACTGATTAGATTAAGGTTTTCATAACCCAATCGTTTTACCTCTGAACGTTCTTTTATTATCTTATACATGAGCTTTTGGGGGACACCTCATAGCTAAACCATAACATCCCACAATGAGACTGCCCCCTGCCCCCAGCAGGAACTGTCATCCATCTCATTCGAACTGAAGTGTGCCCTCTTTACCCCTTTCTAGGATTACAGGTCTGATGGATAAATTTCCTGAGCAACAAGAGGAAATTGCCCTCTCTAGTGGTAGACATCTCTGGCACTACCTAATAGAAACAGAACTCAGAGAATGAACAACTAAACCAAGTTTAATMAAATCTGCTTAATTATGCAGACTTCTTGTCCCCTACCTCATTCCATCCTCTGTTTAAACCTATACGCATTTGTGCTCTGAAGATAGGACTGAGAAGCTGGATCTCACTTTGCCTTCCCAGCATGGCCTTATTGATTAAAGTATCCTTTCCTGCTTTTCATGTACCTTTTCTCTTTGGTGTTTGGGACAAGTGGCCAAACATGGTCTTTTTGGGACCACTGGAGTCAGGACCCTAGCCTAGGACTCCAGTAACATCATATGTTGAGCATTTTCCATCCATATCTCATCCAATCTTTGTTTTAACTATTCATTTTTCTTTTGAAATATTTTATAAATAAGACCCATTGCATTTCAGACATCTACTAAACAGACATCTTTGGTCGTTTCTTATATGACAAACTCTTTCCTGAGTTAGTCAATTTCTTCCTAAAAGATCTACATCTATAGTGTCCTGCTGTGATTTGACTATTCATGTTAGAGGAAGATGATTATTATCCTCACTCTAGAATATTTTTTCCTAGTAACACACATAGACTGAATTAGCTTTTGGGCATTTGCATCACTTTGTTCTATTTAGCTTATAGCCTTGGTCAGTAATTAACAGTCTTTCTCACATGCTGCTTTTTGAATCATATTTCTCCCAATAAATCATATTTCTTCCATCTTATTTTTTTATTTACTGATTCAAAATGAACTGGGATTTTATATTTGCCTCTATTTCTTAGCCTGCAAAATAGCAGAGAAATAAAGTTTATAATAAAGAGAAAAATAAAGTCAAACCACTGCAAAACTGATACAGATGTTAAAATTAATTGGCAACATCATTGAAAGATATTAGAGGGCTAGGGTTGTGGCTCAGCGGTAGAGCACTTGCTGGCATGTATGAGGTACTGGGTTTGATTCTCTGCACCACATATAAATAAATAAATAAATAGAAAGGTTCATCAACAATTAAAAAGAATATTTTTAAAAAGTTATTAGGACTGTTTTATATACACTCAAAAATTAAGTAAGGGAGAGGAGAGAGATAAAAGTCTTAAACTTCCAGAGATGAAAACTATAGTGTGAAAAAAAGAAATATAGGACTAATATCAAAGTTGACATTACACAGCCAAGCTTAGTGAATTTGAAGACACTGCAATAAGAACATCTAGAACAAAACACAGTAAGAAAAGACAAAAAAGAATCAATGGATTGAGGGACAACTTGCAAGTGACCTAATATATATTTAATTTTAAGTCCCAGTGGAGGAGAGAATGGAGGACAAGGATACATCTGGAGAAATAAGAACCAAAAACTTTCCAAACCTAAGGGGAATTGTAAAACCACAGATTCAAAAAGTTTAATCAACCCTAACCACAACAAATACAAAAATATACAAGTGCACATTATAATCATATTGCTTAAAACCAGTGAGTAATAAAATAGCCAGAGGGAAAAATATTCATTATATACCAAGTAACAAAGGCAACAGATTTCTCCTTGAAAACAATGCAAGGGAAGAAGCAGTAGAATTAACATATTTAACAAACTAAGAGGGAAAATCAACTATAAACCTAGAATTCTATATCCAGCAAAAATACTATTCAAAAACAAAGGCCAATTAAAGAGTGTTTAAGTAAGCTGAAATAATTCATTACCTATATACATGCACTATGAGAAATGTTAAATGATATCATTTAGACAGAAGGAAACAGGAATCTACATAAAGGACTGAAGAGTACTGAAAGTGTTAACTATATGGTTAATATATGATATTTTTATTACATAAATCTTTAAAAAATATAAGTATTGTGAAGTTCTTATATATAAAAATGGTACATTTCTTGGAAGATTTTGATAAGTTAAACATGTATCCTGTAAACCCTAAAACAAACATTAAAATAGCAAAAAGGACTATCATTAATAAGCCAATGAAGGATATAAAATAGAATAATAAAAATATACTCAATCCAGGAGTTGGAGAATATAATGCTAAGTAAAGTTAGCCAATCCCAAAAATCCAAAGGTCAAATGTTTTCTTTTATATGAAAATGCTGACTCAGTGGCATTGGTGGGGAGCATGGGAGGAATGGAGGAACTTTAGAAAGGGCAAACCAGGGGGAGGGTAATGGAGTGGGCAAAGGGGTAGGAACAATGGTGGAATGAGTTAGACATCATTACCCAAAGTACATGTATGAAGACATGAGTGGTGTGAAAATACTTTGTGTACAATCAGGGACTTGAAAAATTGTTTTCTATATTTGTAATATGAAATGAATTGCATTCTGTCATCATGTATAACAAATTAGAATAAATAATTTAATAAAAAATATACTCAATTCAAAAGAAAACAAATTGAGAAAAAGAGGAACAAAGATAAATCAAAAATAAATAGTAAGATCAGAGGTTTAAATTTAACCATATCAACAATCATATTAAATGTAAATGGCCCAAATACCTTCATTCAAAGGCAAGTGTTTCAGATTATATAAAAAAGTGAACTCTCTCTATATGCTGTCTGAGAGAAGCATACATTAAATATGAAGGCACATTGGTTAAAAGATGAGGAAAGACCATGCTATCACGAATCAAAAGAAAGGTAGAGTGGCTAAATGATATTAGACAAAGTAGATTTCAAAGGAGAGAATATTACCACAAATAAAGAAAATAATTTCATAATACTAAAAAAGAGTTAATCAAGAGGACATGCAATTCTAAATACTTAGATCAAAGCTTCAAAATACTTGAGACAAAAATGATAGAACTGCAAGGAGAAGTAAATGGAGAAACCATGTTTATGACTTAAAAGACTCAATATTATTAAGATATCAGTTCTCCCAAAAGTGATTTATATATAGATTCATTACAATTCTAATCAAAATTCCAGCTAGCAGCCAGGCACCTTGGTGCTTGCCTATAATCCCAATGACTCAGGAGATTGAGGCAGGAGGATTGCAAGTTTCAGGCCAGCCTCAGCAACTTAGTGAGGTCCTAAGCAGCTTAGTGAGACCCTCTCTCAAATAAAAAGGACTGGGAATGTGGTTCAGAGGTAAACTATCTTTGGGTTCAACTACCAGTTTAAAAAAAAAAAAAAATCTCAGCTAGGCTTTTTTTTCCAATAGAAATTGACAAACCGACTATAAAATATATGTAGAAATTCAAAGGATCTAGAACACTTTGACAAAGCAGCATCTTTATTTATAATAGCCAAAAATTGGACACAACTAAAGTGTTTTCAAAAAAACTATGTTTATATTCATATAACAGAATATAAAATTAACCAACTATTGACCGTCTACAAATAAAAAAAAGTTATAAAAAATTAACCCACTATTATGCCAGAATAGGGATGAATCACAGATGCATTGTGCCAAGTGGAAGAAGTGAGTCTCAAAAAGGTGCATATTGTATGCTTTCATTTATATGACATTCAGAAAAAGTTCAATGTATAACAAGAGAACAACAGACCAATGGTTGCCAGGGGTAGGGATTGATTTAATAAAGGGGTTCTTTGAGGGAATTTAGGGAAACAAGTCTATTATTGTAGTTACAGAGCTCTACATATTTATCAAAAGTCATAGAACTTTACACTAAAAATATATATAGTGTATTTAAAATAAATAAATACATAAATGGTGCCATGATGTGATCATTTTTGAAGTTAGGTAATTGATGTCTGGGAATTCTTCAAATTCTTAACTCTACTATTATATATATTTGAAATTATAAAGCTAAAAAAATAAACTATGATATTAGAAGATGTCCACATAGATCATAGTATGATTAATAGAGTAGTAGTAGTAAAGACAAAGAATGTATGAGATGACCTCAACTTATACAATGCAGAACATAGTCAAATAGATTAGCTTCTGCAAATAGATGTGAAAATGACTAGTGGCAGCAGTGAAGTATGATGTAATTGCTGCTTATCAGTATCTAATGGCATAGATTAGATTAAAGAAAAAGAAAAAGTTATCAGGATTAGAAATTAGCCAAAAAATAAAACTGAAGGGGAAATCCTCCAATTTCATAGAAATTCAAATTGAATAAATGAATTTTAAATATTCAGGTCAATATAGATAAATTTCAAAATTCATAAGCAAGAGTCTTTTAATAGCAAAATAATTTAAGTATCAAATAGTCTTTCTTTTCTGTTATATAATATAAAAGGACCTTATAATCTAGGTTTACTTTTTTTACTCATATTTAAAAAAATAAATTTGAAACAGCACATCAGACATGAAAATAATACCAAGTGTCATTTCATTTACAGGTTTGCATTACATTTACTGAATTTGGAAAGATGCAAAATATTTGTAATTTCCTCGTTGAAAAGCTAGATAGCTCTGTTGTCATCAGTCCACCCCAATTCTATCATACTCCAGGCTCTGTTGAGAATCTTCGGTAAGTTTAAGCACATTTTTATTATTATTAACTAAATTATTAATTGCTTAAACAAAACTATTCAGTGAATGCCATATTAATAATCTCTGCATTTAATTCCTCAGACGGCAAGCCTGTCTTGTTGCTGTTGAGAATGCATGGCGCAAAGCTCAAGAAGTCTGTAACCTTGTTGGCCAAACCCTAGGAAAACCTTTACTAATCAAAGAAGAAGAAACAAAAGAATGGGATGGCCAACCAGATAATCATCAGTCATCCTCAAGTTCATTAACTATACAACAAAAAATCAAAAGTGCAACAATACATGCTGCTTCAAAAGTACTTATAACTTTTGAGGTAAAAGGGAAAGAGAAGAAAAAAAAACATCTCTAAAGTTCCAAACAAAATATGTTGTATTTGTATTTTTTTTATCTATTTTTGTACTTTTTATAAAGTTTCCTTTTGTCCTGAGTACATATGTTGGATAATAGATAAACTGTTTCTTTATAAGATTTTTAAGTCCTTGAATATAGTTCCACAGAATGTTTACCTTTTGTTTTCAAGAACTAACTGAGAAATGTTCTTGGGAAATAAATGTAATATATGCACACTTCTGTATACCAACAATTCATACAAGTGCATGTATGATATTTACAATATAGGAAAAAACTGACACTTTTATTTCATCCATGTTCTTATATGACACCACATTTTATATAAAAACTAGGCTTCCACAACTTAAAATTTTTACATATAAAAGGAAATCTTACCATCCCATCAGACCTAATAATTTTCTAAATTCATGAGTTTGGTTATTTACAAACTAGTAATTTAGCCTGTTACAGTTTCTTAGATGCTGACAGAATACATGAGACTCCAGGAACAGAAACAAAGGAGCATGAACATCAGCATATTGTCATTGGCTCCAGTTGTCCCACGTTACATAGGGAAGCACAATATGGCCATAAACATAACTACACATTCAGCAGGTTTCTTATAGCTGAGGACTACGGAGCTTGAAAAATTCACTGCTTTTTATTATGAACAAAAGCAAACCTCTTTATCCTAGAAGGCATTGCCTCTTCCTTCAAAGATGTTCACTGCAAACTCAGTCCTTAGAAATAGCTCAGGTAAAGAGTAGTCACACCTAGCAAGAAATGTAGGGAAGAGGAAATTCATAGAAGACTCTCTTTCTCAACATATCTGATAATTTTCTTACTAGATCCAGACCATTTTATGAAGACGCAGACCAACAACTTCACAACATTAACAAAAAGAATGATAAACAATACTTTTGAATAAAAGGACAATAAGGTATACTAGGAAAATATTGATGCCCAAAATTGACATAATGTATGAATTAGACTCTCTTCTACAGTGCTTGTTAGATGATACTAGCATCCATGTGTAAAGCAAAATTTCCTAGTACGTGTATTATAAAAGTAAAAAAACAGTTAAAAGTAATTTTAATAATGTATTTTATTTAAGTCATTATATCCAGAGTATTATCATTTTGGTATATAATAAATATTTTTAAAATTATTAACAATATACTTATATTCTTTTTTGTACTGTCTGTTAAAATCCAGTATATCTTATGTTACAGCACATCTCAATTCATATGCTAAATTTTTATTGTAAATACTTAATCTATATTAAATTCCTATACTGAGAAGTTGAAAGAATTGATTCACATATCCAAGTTGTTCCAAACATGTTTAAGTTATCCAGTAACTAGATCAAGTATCAATTTTGAAATTAAAATTTGAAAATCTGAAATGCACTTCCTTAGTTACATTGCCACATTTGAAGTACTTGAGAGCCATAAAAAGGTATTGCCTACCTATTTAAACAAAGCAGGGTCATACACTGATATATAATGATCCTTAAGCTATTTAACAAGTACAAACCATTGCTATTGCATTATATCACAAGTCTGTTACACCATATGCTTTCCATTCACCTAGTACATAGAATTTTTCCATACATCTAGGACATAGAATTTTTCCTTTATATCAATATTTCTTTCCAACATATATCAATATTTCTTTCCAATAACATATTCCAGGATATAGTGTTCATCACTACTTACTTTTCTTAAGTAGCCCTGAAACAACTAAAATTTAATCATGTGGGCAGATTGTTCTTAGCCATGGGCTTCATAATATATTGGGTTCCATCATATTTGATAAAGAAGATTATCAATTGAGCATGAAATACCTAAGGCAAATTTTTTTTTTAGTTAGCAAGCACTTGTTTAAATTAAAAGAATAAAGATTGTTGCTTCAAAATAAAATCTGCAGAATGTAATCTTGCACTTTCATAGAGTGGCTACAGAAAGAAATCCTTCAGAAATTAGACTGGTTTTATCTATGGCATTCTGTACACCTAGATTAAAGGTCTCAAATTTAGTTGTAATTTAATAAGGTTAATTTCTGACACAAGCATGCACTGGAGTTTTGCAATGAATTATGCAAGGAACCTAAACAACAAAAGCCTACTGGAATAAACCTTTCCTAAACCTAATCCTAACAGAACAGAATGTCTTATGATAAAACTAACTTTTTAAAAAACCTTTCCAAAAATTCCAAATTACAATTGCTACTTTCTGAAAGACAAAGGATTTTTTTTTCTAACTAAGAAACAGACCCACTATATATCCTAAGCTTCTTTTTAAATTTTTGGTACATATTAATGATACAGAACAAGTAGGTATCATTTGTACATGCAAATAATATCATTTGATCAGTTTTATTACCCAATACCCCCTCTCCTCTCTCCTCCTTATCCTCTTCCTCTACCCCACTTGTCTCCTTTCTACTTTTACAACATCCCTTTTTTTCTATTTTTCCCTTTCACTTCCACATATGAGAGAAAACATGATATCTGTCTTTCTGAACTTGGCTTATTTTGTTTAATGTCATCTAAACTCCTTTTTAAAAAGAAATGCTATTAAAATAAGGAATCTGTTTGAAATTTTATTCAATTACAACTAGAAAAAAATAAAATTAGAAATGTTTATCAGTATTCTCACTTAACAGTCTATTTGAGTTCATTGTAAATAAATAAGACCTGGAAAAAAATTTTGTAACTCGAGATGCTGTACCTCATATCCCATAATTATTGTTATATCTTCCTCTGGAATGTAATTAGCCAAGGAAACCCCACATCTGTCAGACTCTTTGAGAAGAACTGCATAGTGAGGAGTCCTTATAATAGCCTACAAAAATAAAGCATGAATCATGAGGTCAAAACCAAGAATTAGTAAATGATTGTCCATATTATAAAATTTAATAGAAAGCAAATACTTTTATTATTCATTCCAGAAACAAATATAAATTAGTTTTAAGATAACATGAATATTTACTATTGTGCATACAGTATTTGCAGCCAAACAGCATCAACTCATAACCTAATRTTCAGGTATCTTAATAGACTAGAAGTAACAGCGGCTGATCCAAATCCAGACACCACTTTCAAGGAGAGGTAATAGAAGTCTTTCAAGAAGGATTATTTGTATTATTTTTTATTAGCAAAATAAAACTATTTTAAAATTGCTTGTTAGGAGGATATTTTTGTTTCAGCCACTCTTCTGGAGTTCTGGCTTCATCATCCCAAACAAAAATTATTTCTGGGCTGGGATTGTTGGCTCAGTGGCGGAGCGCTTGCCTAGTATGTGCGAGGCACTGGGTTTGATTCTCAGCACCACATATAAATAAATTAAAGGTTCATCAACAATTTTAAAAAATTTAAAAAGATGTAAATCATCATGTATTTTTTTTAAAAAATTATTCTCAGCCATGTAACTTGTGGATGATCACCAATTTCACATCAAAATGAACAAATACTGGCTTTAGACTTTGTATATTGATTCTATTATAATAGAAGAAAAAAAGACTAAACATTTTTATTGATTTTTTGAAAAATAAATGACAGCAGAATGCATTACAATTCTTATTACACATATACAGCACAACTTTTCATATCTCTGGTTGTATATAAAGTATGTTGACACCAATTTGTGTATCATACATGTACTTTGGGTAATGATGTCCATCACATTCTAGTATCCTTTCTAATCCCCGCCCCCTCCCTTTTCCTCCCACCCCTCTGCCCATCTAGAATTCATCTATTCCTCCCATGCTCTCCCTCCCTACCCCACTATGAGTCAGCCTCCTTATATCACAGAAAACATTTGGCATTTGTTTTTTTGGGGGATTGGATAATTTCACTTAGCCTTATCTTCTCCAACGCCATCCATTGATTGCACACGATTGATTTCATTCTCTTTTATTGCTGAGTAAAATTCCATTGTGCATATATGCCACATTTTTAATCCATTCATTCACTGAAGGGCATCTAGGTTGGCTCCACAGTTTAGCTATTGTAAATTTTGCTGCTATGAACATTGATGTGGCTATGTCCCTGTAGTATGCTGTTTTTAAGTCTTTGTGAGGTGAACAAAGAGCCTACATCCTGGGAGCAAATTTTTATCCCTCACACATCAGATAGAGAACTATCTCTAGGGTATATAAAGAACTCAAAAAGCTAAGCACCAAAAAAAAAAACAAATAACCCAATCAACAAATGGGGCAAGGACCTGAACAGATACTTCTCAGAAGAGAATATACAATCAATCAACAAATATATGAAAAAATGTTCATCACTAGCAATTAGAAAAATGCAAATCAAAACCACTCTAAGATTTCATCTCACTCCAGTCAGAATGGCAGCTATTATGAAGACAACAATAAGTGTTGGTGAGGATGTGCAGGAAAAGATACACTCACACATTGCTGGTGGGACTGCGGTGCAGCCAATATGGAAAGCAGTATGGAGATTCCTTGGAAATTTGGGAATGGAACCACCATTTGACCCAGGTATCCCTGTCTTCAGTCTATACCCATAAGTAAACATATATTATTGGCAACATAGGTTTTTTAGATTTATTAGAGTTTCATGTACTCAGTATATTTGACAAGAGATAATATTACAGAAACAAAAACCAAAAATAGTTTACACACTAAAAGCTGAAAAGCCCAGGTGGCAAGAAAAAATGCTCATTTAGAATGATCATGAAACAAGTTATTGATCCCTGAATTAAATCTTCCAAATGCCATGTTGCTTATCATCTGGTGTGGGGCATGAAGCATGTCCACCCTTAAAAATGAAAGTGTCTTTCAATATAATGATTCTGTCACCTATCTTGTTCATTTTCCTTTGATAAACAATTTTGGACAAAGTCAAAAATAGGTAAATAGTTTCAGCACTTCATATACACATCAGTTTTATACTGATCACATTAATTACTTCCTAGTTATATTTCATCTGTTCCTCTATATGATTATGAACTCCTCAAAAGAAGGCCATGTTGGAGACACTTATTTTCTCAGTTTCTGGCTAATAAGAGGGGGAGAAAAAGCTGACTGTCAGATATTCTACTTTTTCCCAAACAAAAGAGATCATTAATAGCACTATAGCTGACTGCCATTAACATGAAGTGGAGAAGGGAATCACAGGACATTGATTCCAAATGTATTCTTAAACCATATATGTTTTCACCAAAAGGCATAGTATTATTTCTCTAAAGCTTGTCTTTATTAAGAAAGGCAAGACGACTTACCTAGCAGGCATGAGGTCCTGGATCCATTCCCTACCACCAAAAACAAAAACAAAAGCCTAAATCCATCTCAGGCTTATTGAAGTGGCTATATACATGTATCTTTGTCTTTTACCTCCTCTTGCCACAGAGGGTGAGTACCAGTTGTGCCATACTCTTTCACCAGCAGGCAGGTTACATAATAGTATGCCTAGAGAAAGTCGCTTTTGAAGTTCTGACTGTAGCCACTAGAAAACTGCATATAATAAATTCAGTTTACTTATAACTATTAATAAACGAATGCTTTAACTTAATTTGTTTCCATTGGCATTAATTTTGCTTCCAAAGCTTATTTTAGAAAATCATATTTGTACCTTATAGCAATAATGAATGTGTGGCACACAAAAAACA